ATATGCAATCCGATGTATATACATATATATATATATATACATATATATGCACACATACATAAACATGTATTTAGATAGATTGGGTGGGCAGTCCAAGACGACTGCCAGCCGCCGCCCAACGTCAACATCAACGTCAAATTCAACAAAAACAACAACAAAAGTCGTGCGAAATTTGTTAATTTGCGGAATGCTACAAAAGGCACAGAGTCTTCGAGGGGTAAAGCAGACTAAATGGGGATTATGTAACCTGCTATATTTGTAAGGCATACATCAGGTTATCGATATTGAATTCGATTCAATAATCGATTGTTGTAAATAAATACATATACATCCAACTAAAGATTACTTAATGATTAGCCTATCGATAACGTAATCGATGAGTATATATATATTTATGGATCGACTAATGCATATGAAGTGTGCAAGACTCCTATCATATATTATGCAAATTATCAATTTATATTTCTGATAGACTTATCGATATTTATCGATAACATGTTCGATTAATGTTTATAAATATTTAGGCACATTTCCAACTAAGGATGATGCGAACGATGATTTTTGTATATTTAATCAACCAATCGGCATCTGCCAATGTCGATAATCGATTAATGCATAAGATTTGGCCATTTTATGAGAATGATTAAAATATATAGTGTAAATCAATATAAACATTTATTATTATGAAATATGGTATTATGAATACTGATTCCACTCGACTTGGAACAGTTTGTTTTACTGCACAATACATATTACATAGCAATAGTACGTGGTATATTTTAGTCGAGCCCCGTCGCCAGCATTCCATTTGCCCATTTGCTAAATTGTATAATTTTTCACACCGAACCCGTTCACTTCCGCGGATCCGTGGGGCGGGTGGAGGTGTGTTGGCAACATTTTGGGCCTGGTGTGGCGTGTCGATAAAAACAAATCCGTAGTAGACACATTGTAAGTGTTTTATTCTCGTTTCTGTGCTTGCTGCTCATTTTATTTGTATTCGCATATTCTTTCTCGTCGTCGTCGTCGTCGTTGTGCCTTGCGCAATTTATTTGCAATTGTGTGAGCAATATTTTTTGTGTTTTGTTTCTATTTTTCCGGCTCAAGAAAGTTCGCGATTTTATTTGGCGCTAAGGGAAAATATAGAAACAGAACGCACGCAGCACCTACGCAAAGAACAAGTTATTTGCAGATGGGGTGGGGGGAGGCAGAGGGGGTGTGCCATAGATTATCAGCACACGACTGACGCGACGGAACTGAATGGAACTCGCAACACGTGGGTGCGAAGAGATGGGCCACAACATTTGAATTTTGCTTGGCATGGGGGAGGTTGGGATCACATCGAGCATGACTAATCACAACAGAGTGGGGGAGCGGGTGGTGGAGGGAGGGCGCAGGCACACATAAATCATTCTGCAGACAAAGCAGCGAGAGAAATCTACAGGCTGTCAGCCCGTTGTTGTTGCTTTTCTCATATTTTGTTATTGCTGTACTTCAAAAACAGGAAGAGCTTTCTGCACAAACAAATGAAAAGAAAAAAAAGCAAAAACAATAAAGTTTTGCTTTAGGCAGGCGAAAGAGCAGCAGAAAATAAAAATCATAAAAACAAACGCCCAGCAGAGAAAAAAAAATGAATACACAAAATGAGTCTCAACCTTGACATTGAACGACGAACACACATAAAGAAAATACCGGCAAACACACAATAAAGACATAAGTGGGAGTGAGAAGAGTGCAAGTCTATGTGTTTGTTTGTGTGTGCCGTAAAGTTTACAGCTTAGGCGCTCTCCGCAGCATCATTAATGGGAGAGCGAGAGGGAGAGAGAGAGAGAGAGAGCGAGAGAAAGAGAGAGAGAACTGCAAATTGAAAGTAAGGAAAATGCTTTCAAATGTTTGTTTATCACCAAAACAAAATATAAAAAAAGCATAAGTTTAAGTTGTGTGGCGCTAAAAATAGCGACCGAAAATAAATTCAGCAAAACAAAAACAAAACCAGAAAAGCGATAAAAAGCGGCTTTTATGAATTAAATAAAACGCAAACGAAAATAACACAAATCAGCCGGTTTTTCTGTTTTTTTTTTCTTTAATGATAAGCAGCAGGCTAAATGCAATGCACAAACAACAAGAGTAAAATTTTAGAGAGAGCGAGAGAGGAAGAGAGAGAGAGTAGCATGGGCGCGGATATTGTGCGCTCAAAGCAAAAAAAAAGATAAAAATCAAATCAGAAAACAGAGCAGAGCAGAGAAGAAACACATTAAAGCTGAACAACAACAACAAGAGCAGCAGCAGCAAGAAGAGGCAGGCAAGCAACGGCAAAAGCGAGCAAAAAATGAAAACAAATATCGCGGCCTTGAAAACTGGACAAGACAACAGCAAGCACAACTCAACACAAAAAAAAAGAAGGCAAGCAAAAAATAAAAAAAAGAATGAATACGCCGCCTTAGAAGGAATTAGAAGTTTTTGTTGTTGTTGTTTTTTCGTTCTTCGACGCTTTGATGTATTTTTTTTTGTTGTTTCTCGAGGGTTGCGCCACGAAGCGAACCTACTTGAAAGAGCAATAATAAAGGAAGGGAAAGCATAATCTCGGCTAAATATTCGGCACAGGCTCAAGTTCGAAACAAAGTGCTCTTCAACGGGGAGAGGGGGGATCGTGCTGTTTAGAACAAGAGAACAAAAAAAAACACTCCAGCGCATGTGTACGAATGTGTGTGTGTGTGTGTGTAGCAAATGAGAGAAGCAATGAAAAACAACAAGAAATAAAAGCAAAGAGGGCCACAACCAAAAATACAAACACGATCTAATTCTTTTTTTCTTTTACTATTCGTACTGTGCGGTGGCTTCTTCTTCTTCGTCGTGTTGTTGATTTTCGGCGTTTTACTGCTTGTTTTGCTTTTCGACGAGCTCACATACACACACACACTCACACAAAGGCATACATTCGTTCTTTTTTTTTATCGAGCTGGAATAAATTTGAATGTGCCCGACGACGTATTCGATTTGAGAAACGGAAATATTAAAATTGGGCATAACGAAAAAATAAATGTGTATATGGCTATTTTTTTCTTATTAATATTTCTTATGATTTAACATATGCGTCAGCGTCGCAATCTGACAAAGTGTCGGCGCAAACCTTCAATTCGCGCTTGCAACACTGTAGAATGAAGGGAGCAGGAGGAGGAGTAGAAGAAGACGCGCAGGGAACGGGCCAAACCTTGACCCAAAGTCGTGGATAAAAACACACACATAAAGATAAAGCAGCGGCAAGCGAAGAAAGAAAAACAAAAAAAAGAGAAGCAAATTATAAAACTGAATTCGATAAAAGTGAAACTCGTAATACAAGTACAAACACAGCCATACTTGTGTACGTCTGTGTGTGTGTATATAAATAAATAATAAATGTGCGACCAAAAAGGAAACAACGAGCAGAATGCTAAAGCGCATGAAATTCGCCAAACAGAATGCGATCGGCAAGTGAGCGAATGAAACAGATAACACTAGATAAAGAGAGAGGGAGCACGAGGGCGAGGGAGAGGGAACGAGTAGTGTCAGTGAGTCTGGTTTATTTGCATAATGCAAGTGGTGAGCAACTTCCTCGAAAGTGCTTAACACAAAAATTAAGAAAGAAAAGAGAGAGAGAGAGAGAGAGAGTGAATAAAGAACAGACTTAATTTAATGCAATAATATAAATATGCACATATACAGAAATTGTGTATGCATGTAACAAATATTGAATTAACTTTAGTCGTTTTTATTTTGTTTTCCCCCAGCTGTTCACAGCGAGCGAAAGAATCGCGTTGGGGTTTTCGGGCAAAGGGAATATCAAGGTTATATAAGCGTTGAGAGATCGCCCAAAGTCAACAAACAAACAAACAAACAATTGTTTAATTACACTGCCCAACAAAAGTAAGAAGATCGCGTCAACAAAATTATTTACCACATAATATCCAATTAATCGGAATTTATAAAAACTTGGCTAATATTAATGGAATCATTAAGAACGTTAAGCAATCTTTCGCAAAAATATATGCCTTATAATGTATAAATTGAGTGAATTTATTTATTTATGCGTAAATTGAAGAAATATGTAAAAATCTAATTAAGATATTCTTCAACAAAAAAATTCTATATGCAAATTGAAGAGATTTTTAGATATATTTCTAATAATAGCTATATGTAAATTTGATAATTCATAAGCAATATTTTTAACAATATTCTATATGTAAATCAAACGAATATAAGGAAGGTCGAACGTCGTAAATATATTTCTAAAAATTCTAATTAATCATTCACAAAAAAAATGCTAAAACATTTAAATTCGAATTTATTGCCAGAATTTTGATAATTTCTTTCTATACAAAAATTAAATAAAATATTTTTACCCATCTGCAGGTAAGTAAATTGTTGCCTTCTGTGACATTTTTGTGTGTTTTGACTGATTTATTTTTTTTTTTTATATTCTGTTAGCATAAAATTCCGTCAAATTGAAAAATTAAAATTTTAATTTACGCAAAATCTTAGATAAATTTGAGTTTAGAATTCTTTGCGAAGCGTTTGCATCTACATCTAATTGAAAATGTAGTTTCAAATTTATGAATAGAAAATAATAATCGCGAAATATTATTAGTAGAATAAACAATTCTATTTATTTTATTTTTGTATTATATAAGCTTATTTTAAATTTATTTTTAGTGAGAATATCTAACTAAATACTGCTTGGCAATTTAAATGGAATTTATTTATTTTTATTATCACTATTTTTATAATTTGCATTTTTCTAATTTTCTTGAATTTGTTCGGAAGTGTTTTTGATAGTTTTGTTTTTTTGTAAATTATTATTTTTCTTCACTTTGTTTTTCGCATGGATACATTTTTGAATTATTATTGACATTGGGCGCACATGTTGGGGAAATTTGAAGAAATTTCTGCAGGTGGACTGCAAAGAGAGGGTGAGGGGACGGTGGGTGTAGGGAGGCGTTAGAGGCACGTGGGGATTGTTAACTTACCGCACACGCTCCGAGTAGAGTTCGACTTCTTTGTTCTTCTGCTGTTGCACCAATTGTTGCTGATCGTAGCTGGCCGGCGGCTTGAAGTTGCTGATGTTGGCCAAAACAGGCAATAGTTCCAGGACATGCTTGGGCAGGCCCAAACCACTGTTGCTGCTGTTGTTGCTGTTGTGTTGTAGCAGCAGACTGCCAGCGAAATTGTTGTTTGTGGCTGCAGCAGGCGGCAGCTGCAATTGTTGCTGTTGTTGTTGTTGCTGTTGCAAGTGCAACTGTTGCTGCTGCTGTTGTTGCAACTGTTGCTGCTGCACTGGCGATAGGGAAATGTCTCCGCTGGACTGGGACGCCGAGGGGGAGCTGGAGCCGCTGGAGGAGGAGAGGCTGCCGGCGCGAGTTCGCAAATCGAGGCCCAACACATTGTTGCCACCGCTGCCAACGCCGCTGTTGAGTATGTTGCTCAGTGTTGCCACCACGCTCGGTTGCAATGTGGCAATATTGTTATTGTTGTTGCTGATGTTGCCATTGCTGTTGTTGTTGTTGTTGTTGTGTGGCAAGCCGGAGCCAATGACGCCCACATTGGGATTGGGCGTCAAGTTGCCGCCGTTTGTGTTGAGTGGCGCCAAGGCGACTCCCTGCTTCTGCTGGTTGTTGTTGTTGTTGTTGCTGTTGCCACCGTTGCCATTGTTGTTGTTGCCACTGTTGCGATTGCGCTTCTTCTTCTTGCTGCTGTTCTTGCCCTTCTCGTCATCGGCCACCACATCGATGAGGGAACGCGGCGCCGTGAAGCATACCCCATTTGGCGGCCACTCGAGATCCTTGCGCAACTGTCCCCGGCCGCACTTGCAACTGCAATTCTTCGACACCAGATCGTAGCCCTTCTTCTGCCACAACTGTTGCACCCGCTGCTGTTGCGACCAGCTGCGTCCACGCGCACTTCCCTTCAGCTGTTGCAACACGCCCGCCTCCCACAGATCGAAGCAGTCGCGATGCATATATTGCCCCACGTTGCAATTCTCGTTGTTGCACAACACACGGACACAGTCCGCCAGCCCAGTTTCGTCCAACGCTATCAATGCATCCATTTTCGCACATTCACCGTTAGGATAGCAGCAGCGCGTCAACTGAACGCCGACGCTCAGCTTTTGTTGCATGGGCGCCATAATTGCGTAGAGTTGTTGTTGCTGTTGCTGCTGTTGCAATTGTTGCTGCTGCTGCTCGTGTTGCAAGTGATGATGTTGTTGTTGCTGCTGCTGCTGGTGTTGATGCTGCTGTTGGGTGTTGTTGCCGCTGCTGCTGTTGCGTCGCGGCGCCATAAATGTTGCACGTGTTTGTCGTTTTTTTTTTTGTTTTATGCTAAATTTCCACTTGGCATCTTATCTATTATTATTAATATATTTTTATTTTTTTGTTTTTCTTTTTCCTGTATAAAAATGTGTACACAAAAATTTCAGTCTATTTTTGTAGTTGATTATTTTTTTGTTTATTGCTAAATTTATACCTGAGCTGAGTTTACAAATTGTATCAAAAAATTGTTACTTAAGTCTTCTATTTTTTATTATAATTTTTTTTTACATGTTTTTTGTTTTGTTTTTTTCTTCTTTTGGTCGCACACACAACACGCACATTAAATTGTTTTTATGTCTTAATTTGTTTGTTGTTTGTTCTCCTTCGTCTTCTTTTTACACTACACTTTTCTGATTGCTTTTGAATGAATATTATTACATTTTAGATATATGTTTGGTGAGCAGGAATTGAATTGAATAAATAAAACGTATTCGATGCCGTTGTTTTTATGATGTTCTTCGCTTGTTTTGCATTCTTTCGTCGCTTTGCCTTTTGCTCACTTCCAATTGAGTTTGGTGTTTTCGGCGTACGGCGAACGGAGAGCGATGCAAAAAACACAACCAACCAGATCAAAAGCGAAATTCCAACTAAATGAAACGAACGGTACACACGACGACCCGAGCGACCAAGCAACGAACACCAAACTGAAAATGAAATTCAAACACACACACACACACACACACATGCACACACGTAAAAGCGGCGCGCTGCAGCCGGCAGAGGCAACACAGACGCATACACGTTTCGTATTGTGTCGTCGACGTCGTCGTTGTTGTTGTTTTTGGTGGGTGGATGGGCCCGCCGAGAGATGTTCGATGTTCGATGCAGCTCTCTGCGACAGCGACGCAGACGCATTTGTTTGGTCGAACGTTGACGCCGGCAGCGAAGTTGGAAGTTTTCCTTATTTTTTTTTTCGTTTCTCAGGGTGGGTGGGTGTTGGGGTGGTTTGGTTGGCTGCTTTTCACTTTCCACCACCACCACCGAAAACGAAGTCGCCACATAGCTGGCGGAAAATGCTCGTTTTTCATTTGAGGAAAATTTCGTACAAGTTTTTGGCGCTAAAAACTCATGCGTCTGTCTGGAAGGGTGGAATTTTAGGTGTGCATTGCGAAGTTTGGGGTTGATCGGCGGTGGGGCAATCAGTTGAGCAGGCGAGCAAGCGAGACAGCAACAGCAAATAATTCTAACAAATTCACTTTCGATACGGTTTGAACAATCGTTTCCCCTCCAACATGCTGTACTGCGCAGCACTACGCTGCCGTGATGCTCGACAGCGTTGAGCACGCAACTTGTTTGACGAAGTTAGCGCGTGTGTTTATATCTGTGTGTGTGAATATTTGTGTGTGTATTGGTGCAAAAACGCCGGCAAAACAAACAAACAGGGTTGCCGAGCGGCATTTAATTTGACGCCAATCCATATTTGTATCTATACATACAGATATATAAAATGCAGGTGCTCGTAGAATTTTCTAGATGTGTGTATGATTATTTGTACTATAAACACTGCCATTCTAACAAATATATGCTTGCATTTACATATATAGGTATGTGCCAAAGTACAAATAAATAATCATTGATTCTGCTCTGATTCGGTTTTGACTGGAAGAATGGGGACCCCTTACAACCCGTTTACTGCTGACAGCGCTTTTTCGTATATAATCCCAAAAATCACAAATACATATGCACACATGCATGAATACATATATTTTATATACCACACACACAACTTCAACACATACACATGTGCAAGGGAATACAATGGTACATGAACAACAAAAATAAAAGAAGCATTAAAAAACAAGAAGAAGAAGAAGCGGCAAAAGCAAAATGGAAACGTGCGAATCGAGTCGAGCACTTTGCACGCTGCAACAAATGCAAGCAGCATATGCCCGTATATAAATACATACATAACACATACATATGTATATACTTGTTAAACTAATTTTGTTAATGCTTATAAATGAATATAATAAATATTCTCAAATTTCACAAATGCATATGTTATTTTCTCGCCAAAATTTAAATGAGCTTTAATTAATTAATCCATAAAAAGGGTCTTGATCGTGTCCTTAAGGCCGATGAGGCTTTTATACGGCTGTTGTTGGTGTCAGTATCGCAGTTCTCTCTTGCGCTCTTCGCATCATCGACAGCTCCTATACATAGATATACTTATGTACATATGTGTGTGCTTATGTATGAATGTAATTTTATGTACGCTTGCTGGTGCCCCTTTAGAGTCCTGTATTAAAACGAAACGCTGCGGTGTTGCGAAAAAGAAGGCATGAAAAAAGAAATAATCAAAATAAGGGCACGTGTAGGATGGTTTTAATAAATAAATATACATTCATATGTATATACATAGTATGTATGTATAGAAAAATATCGATACTTTGTAACGTTTGAAAGTGTGTGTAAATATGTTTGTACATAAGTAATTATCGAAATTATCGATTGTCGATTGTTGTAAAAAGTTAATTTCGTGCTTATTTAAAAGACTTTAACTTAAACACTTTGAAAGAGTTGAGTGTGTAAGCAATTTTTGAGATGCCTTCCAAATTGGGGCCACTTAACGTAAGTTAAAGTTAATTCACATTCGCAATAATAGTGTCGGTAATTATATCGATGCCGCGTGTTGCGAAAATAACTAAAAAAATTACTTGAATATGTTGTGTTTCTTTGTTGCTGTTTGTATTGTATTTCTTATAAGACTCGAAGGCGAAGGACTCGAAGGCTCGGCAGAAGAAGTCAAGGCCTTTGTCGTGTCCAACTGGCAAAAAAAACTGCGTAGTTTTTGTCGACTACCTGCGACCAACGTTGCCTGAGCGGATTTGTGGGGAAGTAGCAGGGGAAGTAGAAGCTGGCGCTGATATAATAATTAAGTCAGGTAGGCAGATCGCAGCCATTGCGTAATAAGTTCGACACGCTGAATGGGTAACTTTGTATGTGTGTGTGTGTGTCTTGTTATTCTAGTTGAAAGGATCGCATATAGCAAGAGTGAGAGAGATAGAGGAAGAGAGAACAAAGAAGCTGGAATTGGACTAGTTTGCAGCACATTCTTTTATTTCTTTTCTTCCAAGGAGTTGTTGTTGTTGTTTTTTTTTTTCTCTTTTTCTTTTCCTTCTTATTATTATTGTGTGCTTTGTGCTGACCTAATTTTAATGACCAACAGCAATGGAAACAACAGCAATGGGGATCGGGGGAACGAGCTGGAGGAGGTCGGACTTGGCTTGATCGGGTTCGGTTCGGTTCGGGTCCCCCGAGGGCTGAGGCGATATTTTAGTAGTGACGACGACACGCATCAACTTTAATTTTCATAATTAATGGCAACTAAAAGGCTGCACAGACATTGGGCCCCCGGGGGCAACTGGGCGGCGGCCAGAGTTGCCATAAATAAACGTCGTGGCTTTTGCACTCTCTAAGCATGTGCCAACTCTTTTCTGACACGTCACACAACAACAACAAGAACAGTAAATATATGTAAGTAGAAGAAGCAGAAGCAGAAGAAGACAAAGTTTATGTTTGCTGTTGGCAGGCGAAGACTTCCTGTTTTGCGTGCGAAAGCGTGTCGATTTTTGGGCTTTGAGGCTTTTGCGTGTGTGCTTCGTCCTGCTGCCAACTTCCTTCTCTGCGGTTAAGATGCCAGCACAGTGGTCACTCAATAAATCGATCTTTAACATAGTTTTTGTTAGTTTAGTTTCAATTTTAGTATGTGTTAAGAGTTGCTCACGTTATTTAGTTAAATATAATACATTCAAGCAGATATCTTCAAACCCAAAAGGAATATTGGAATTTGGCCAATCGGGCCAAAGTTTAATTCTTGTTTAAGCCCAACCTTTTTAAATATCGAGCTAAGAAGTCAGGCAATTAGAGCTACTATAATATAGTATAAGCTTAAGAATTTTCATCAAATTTTGTTAACTTTCTCCTTAATAAATAAATACGTTTTTAAGTGAATCAATCGACATCAGTTTTCTATTCTTGTGGGAATTTGTTTTATAAAAAGAAAATCTATTTGGCTTTCCAGGTTATTTTATTCAAACACATCATATTACAAGAAATTACATATCTAAAATAAAGTCTTACAAGGATATTTAATATTTGGCGAAATTAAAGCGAATTATTTTATTCATATTTTTGGATACTTTTAGAATATATAAATAGAATTTTCAAGAAAATAAATACAAAATATATCTAAAACAAAGCTTATGTTATAAATAAAAATGATATATGTACAAAAACATTTAAATGATTTTATGCCATTTTTTCAGAAATTACAAAATATATCTACGACAAAGCTTATATTTATTATCTCATTATTTTATATATATATATTTTTTTTTTTCTTGTAGTAATTAATAACATTTTGTAATCAAAGAGCTTCCACTTTCCAGATACTACTGTCCTTTTATGCCATAAGCCCAAAAGATACTCTGCGCTTGCCAAAAGAAGAAAAGCCTGAAATAAAATTTTAATATTTACGCAAGAGGAATCAAGTCAGCATTAAATGGTGGTAGTAGCCACAATTTTGCCTGCCCCCCTTCTCTAGACTAGCCAGCCTGCCTCCCTCTCTCCCCCCACATGTGCGTGCAACCGAAAGCTTCAGCTGCTGAGGGTGTGTCAGTGGTACACAACAACAGATGCACCACAGCCGCCTGCTGCCTCAAAAGCCCATCCCTACCAAATAAAATGTATAAAATACATATATATATACATATATATAAATGTATATATATATACACACACACATAAATGGGAAGCGTCGTGAACGGTATTATTTGTAATTACCCATACTCCCACATTTATCCAATCGGAAGCAACTTTCAAACCCAAAATAGGGTTTGAAATTTTCATGCTGGCATGACAACCACTCGCACATAACGGTGCCCTTCTCCTCCTCCTCCCCCTATCCATCCAAAAATACATAACGGTATACATATATACTTATATATATATGCGGGTCTTTTATGACACAGCTGAGCGTCCCCAGAAGGGTGTCGTAATTCGTACGTTGCCAAAAATAACCCAAACTCCATTTTGTTCGAGTCAGTTTTGCTGGGTCGT